ATATACATATATATTATTTGTAACTAGTATATCATAGATAATATAGAAAAAAATGTCATAGATATAAGTAGATATTATTTGTTGTCATTGCTCTCTTGTCTTAATTCAAAACACTTATTCAGACTGATTCAAAAAATACCAGAATTCAGTATAATTTTAAAAACACTTATTTTGTTTTGTTTTCATAAATTTTGATCTATTTTTTAGTATTTTGATAAAGTAGACAGATATATCACACATTTAAAAAATCACCACCCAATCAAATATTTTTCTTATTCAGTGAGATTGGACAAAATTGGACAAGTCATACAAACATCTTAAATCATAGTGTAAGTTTTGTATGAAATTATTATTTTTCTCATTGAGTTAAAAGAACTCGATTGATTTGGACAATATAAAATAGAGGTTTCAAACATTGTTCTTCATTTTTTAAAACTACTGACCCAATTCTTCAGATTTATGGACAATTAAAGATAAGTTAATTTGATTTGCTCAAACTTGTGCCATTAGAGACCTTAATGACAAAGTTATTTCCTATGTGAAATAGTAACCCTCGTCCACTTTTTAGAGGTCATAGAGGCTTTGTTATGAAATTCAAACAAAAAGCTCATTTTGGCTCGTTCAATACCCATTGAAAAAACTTTTTCTCAATTTGTTAAGTTTTGTGACGAAATTTTAATTTCTACTATAATGCTATTATATGTATTACAAATTCAGCTCATTAAATTTTTTAAAATTTCTATTACAAGAATATAAAATTAAATGTTAGTATCTTATGATGAAATGTCTTCAAATTATTCTAATATCAAAGTTAACATTTTTTATAAAAATTATTAATTTCATTGAATGTATATTAAAAATAATACATGATATAGCGGTTTGGTTTGATTTTTTAAACATTTTTTTGATTTTTTTGGGAAAATATAAATAAATTTGACCAAAAAAAAATTGTTTGCTTTGATTTTGCAAATAGTTGTGGAAGAATGTGGCACCTCCCAAAAATCAGTTTTTTTTGTTGGTTGGCTTGGAGGGGCAGAGTGCAATTCAGTCTAAGTGGAAACCTTTAGCGAAACTCAAATGAAAATAAATTCTAAGAATTTTTTATAATATTTTGGGTGCCTCACCCCAAATACAGTCAAATAAACCAAACGAAACTAAACCAAACAAAGCTTTATGTCCCAATCAAGTGGGCTACGATACGTGAATAATAATTTCGTCATTTCGTACTATTAAAAGCTATATGCTCGGTTAAATTAAATAAATTCGTTTAATTTTTTTACTTATCACATCCCAAGTCAATTTACGTCTTCCCCTAACATTTTCTTTTACGGTGATCCTATCACATTCTTCTCTACCATTTCATCTACTACTCTACATTGTACATACCAAACCATCTTAGTTTGCTCTCTCTGAACATATTTTCAATTGGTGCTACTCGTACCATTTAATGTATATTCATTTCTATTTCTCTCTGTCCAAAACTTACCAAACACCCACCTAAGCATCCTCATCTTAACTACACTCATTTCATGAGTTTGTTGTTTCTTAATTGTCTAATATTATGTGAACTGCAAAGTATCATTGGTCTTACAATTGTTTTATAAATTAACAACGTCAATTTTGTTAGCATCATTGATCACATAATATGCCAAAGGCACTCTACTTGAACCGACTTTGATTCTATTACAGATGAGAATTTGTAACACAACATGAATCGTACATGAAATTAGGGGTTAGGGTCGAACATTTTCAACACAAACACAAATATGACACTATATAATAACATGATAAATAAATAGGGTTATGTCAAACCTGCATAATATGAAATTGACACATATAACTCATTTAATAGATAATTAGTTACAAATTTTAATGTTATTTTCATTAAAGGATGCCAAAAATATTTAAATCTCTTATGTAACCTACACAATTAAATAAAGAAAATACATAAAATAGTATTTTCAGGTTAATATAGTCATTTTGTCTTTTATTTGAGAGAACATGATCTTTTCATTTATTATTTTGAAGTCAATAAAAATATTTTTTTTGAATAAAATAGAATCAAAATTAATTTTTTTTTTTTTTGAATAATTTCATTTAGTAGAGATTAAGTTTCATAATTTAACTAGAAAAACACTTTAATCTTTCCATACACTTACGTAATTTTTAATTGAAATTCCATTAGTTATTGAAATTCATATTTGTCATTTTTTTGAAAAGATAAAATTGATTTTTAACCCTTTTGCTACTCCATGTGTATTTAACTTTGATATTTGAAAAATAAAACATACACCTTATGATCTAACACATGTTTCACACTTATGTTACTTGGATTGAAAACGTCTGACGGTATACTTCCTTTAGTCTCCAAACACAAAGAACATTATAGTTAATATTCCAAATTATATGTTATGTCTGCACAGCACATTGAAGTGGCATTTGCCTTTATTAAATATGCACAATGTCTTGAATTGAATAAATAACACTTAGAGGGTAAAATAGTATAGTGAAATAAATCAGAACAAATACCAATTTCATATAGTATAATAGACGCAAATTCAAGTATACAACCCCAGCCTTTCATATTACATATGTGAAATACTGAATACAGGTGCAACTTATATATTATACTATTAACTAAGAGAAGCTACTTTTCGGTGTGTATGCTCTCATATTTTGGGTTTTCTATTACATAATTAGATAATTTTCTCAGTTTTATTAGATAATTTCGCAAACTGAGAAATTGTTAGTTTTGTATAACTAAAAAAATAATATTTTATTTTTATGAAATTTTATATTCAATATTGGTCATGTTTGGTAAATCTCATTGTGTAGACTCCAAAAATATATATTTTATTAAAATAAATGTGTATAATAAAAATTATGAAATTTATAAGTTTTGAAAAAAAAAAGAAAGTAAAATTCCACATCAGCAATACTATTTGAATAAGAGAAAATATCTAGTACTTTTGAGGCATGGTTAGGTGATTTTCAAAATATTTATGATTGATGGGGAGGGTGGGGCCTACAATTTTGTATTAGGGCATAAGGTATAATGCTTGGTGATTAGTGGATAACATTGTCATGTGGTGCACTTGTAACACCTAATAATTTTCTACTAACACTCAAGGAATTGACACAATTCCTTCTTCTTTTAATAAAGGTAAAACAGTTTTATATAAATAAATATTTTGAAAATAAGATTTTATGGGTTAACAAAAAAGAAAGAGAACTTAATGGAACATGAACATTACCAATAGGACTTTTAAGTAATTAACCCAATTATTAGGACTTCTTCCTTAAAATTTAACAAAGACAAAATGAAAATTTGATATTGAAGATTAAATTTAAAAACAAAAAAATTCATAGAGCAACGATATATACTGACAAAATTTGTATAAATTTTTTAATGCGGATCTTAATCAATTTGATTCTTGAAGCTCTAATTGCATTAACTCTTATCCTTTAATTTTACACAATGCATGAATTAAGTGCAACGGATAATATCTATTAACAGATTAGACCAAAATCAAAGGAAAAATAATTCATTCAAAAGGGAATATATCACTCACACTAATCCCTTAATTACTTTGAGAATAATAAATTGACTATTTTAGTCTTGATTTTAATCCAATTTCTAAACACTGAATAAAGGTGAAATACTGAATAAAATTGACTTTAAGATTGACTTTAAGAGAACATGATTTTTATATGTGAACTGCAAAGTATCACTGGTCTTACAATTGTTTTATAAATTAACAACGTCATTTTGAATTTTTCAGATTCATTTCAATTTTTAGATTTTGAATTCAATCATACAGTTTACAGTCTTATTTTCTGAAACAAAATTATCATATATATGTAAGCATGTAGACCTCGAATTGAAATTGCCAGTCCACCTTAATTCTCAATTCATGATTTTCATAATATGAATTTCAATTCTCAATTCTCAATTATATGAATTTCATAATATGACATTAACAATTCTCAATTATATGAATTTCAATTCGCATAATTTTATTCTTAATTAAAAAAAATTCCTTTTATTTACAAGCAAAAAATAAAATTTCCAACTCAACAAATATAGGTTGGTTTATTTACAATTCAAAATTCCAAATCCTCATTTCAAAAAATATAGAATAATTTCAATACATTGAAAACCCTAAGTTAACCACAAGCATAATTTACCCACAAGAATAATTTCAACAAATTGAAAATCCTAATTTCAACAAATTGAAAACCCTAATTCCAAACCCTAATTTCAACAAATTGAAAACCCTAATTCCAAGCCCTAATTTGGAATTTCTGCATAACACAATAATTACCAATTCAAAACCCTAATTACCAATTCAAACCCTAATTACCAAACCCTAATTTCTGCATAACCCTAACTTCAAACCGTAATTACCAATTCAAAATCACACATTCACAATTTCTGCATAACACAATAAATACATCAGATTCAAATGAGACAGAGAGAGATAGATGCCATACCACGGAGAGAGAGAGCAGAGACACAAAATGAGAGCAGGGAGAGAGTTTGAGAGCAGAGGAAGAGCGAGAGCGAGAGTGAGAATCTGAGAGCATAGGGAGAGCTCGGGCAAGCAGAGGGGAAAGCGAGAGCGAGAGCGAGAGTAGGGAGGAGAAAAAAACGTAAGTGTAAAAACGTGATTGCAAATGAGAGCGCTTGGGGTTTCATATAAATTATAAAAGCGTGGTTTCAATCCACGCTTTCATTAATCAACAGTGAAAGCGTGATTGTGAATCAGATTTTCTTAAGAAAATAAATATGTACAGTGAAAACGTGGTTTCAGAAAACAAATTAAACGACATGCACAGTGAAAGCGTGGTTTGAAATCACGTTTTCTTTAGAAAAAAATTTTATGTTAAAAACATGATTTCTTAATTAAAAGCGTGATTTCTAATAATACTTTTACTATTCATCAAATTTTTGTCCCCAAATAATAAAAGCGTTATTTGTAAGAACGCTTTATCCTAATTTTGCGAATATCGTGCAAATTAAATCTAATTTGGGAGTTAAGATAGTAAATTGGCTTAACAGGGAAAAGCCTCTTCATCCTTGGAGATTCCCATTCCCATTCTCACTCTCACTGCTTCGTCGCCGAGTCTAAAAATCTCCAAGAAGGTAAACTTTATCCCTCATAATCTTTCTAATCAAAGTTCAGAATTGGATTAATTTTTGAGTACACAAACAAACAAATCTCTCTATTCTATTCTCACAGACAATCCGAAGAATTTGCTTTGCGATCACAAACTCCCACCTTCTATGGCTCCTGTTGCTCCCAGATCTGGGGACGCCATTTTCGCCAATGTTGAGCGCGTGGTAAGATTAAGATTAAGATTACTCTCTCTCTCTCTGTTTGGTTCCCGGGAATTTAAAAAAGAAACGAAAATCTTCGATTTTTCTTTCCTGCTATTTTCATACTAGTCCGCTTTTGATTTTTACTATGTATGTATGTATTGAATTGGTCACTAGATTATTTATGTGAATTTGGGTTGATTACAGAACGCCGAGCTCTTCACCCTAACCTATGGGGCCATCGTGCGTCAACTTCTTACGGATCTGGAGGAGGTCGAGGAAGTCAACAAACAGCTTGATCAAATGTATCTCTCTCTCTCTCTATACATATATATACACACATAAAAACTGGCTTGGTTTGTTTTTAACTGCTGTTGTATTGTATTGAGATCAAGGTTGTTAAAATCAAGATCCTCGGTGTGATCATAGGAAGAGGCTTGTGGATCGGATTGATTATCGAGGATAGTTAGATTCTAGTTTTAATACAAAATAAATGATAAATTATCTAATGATAATGTATGTTAAATAATTGTAAAATCATTAAGGAAAAATTATTAATTTGATATAATGCATTTTTTATATTATCATAAATTAGAAGAGATGTTTGTATAAAGAATTTATAGTCAAATTTCTTGTATAGATATACAGATATAAGAAATAAATAATAAGTATTTTCTTTTGATAGGATTGGAATCGTAGTGCGATTCTATACAATTTTATAACTAGGATCATGGTCACTTCAAGATCCTAGTGCGATCCGAATCGTTTGGCCGAACTAGAGTCGTAGGATCTACGATTTGGATCAGGATTTTGATAACCATGATTGAGATCAGTGTTACCCGAGAAAACGCTAACACTCTAGCAATTTATGTTTTGGAAGGCAAATTCTGAAAACGGTAAATTTAGTTGTCCAAAGCAATCTCATAATATTTTCAATATTTTTCATTAAAAATTCTCCTTAATAGAGAAAGAGTCAAATACAATGAACTAAAATCTAGATGGAGTGAAGTTTGGGATTGACAAAACATAGAATTGTGTTGTTCAACAATTAATTTGAAAAAAAATATACTATAATATATTGGATGTCAAAAAAAGTAGTCTACCTTGATCGTATCACATTTTAGATCATACTATGCCCCCACATTCTTGTTCCTCGTACCTTGGGGTGCTCATGGGTTGGGTTCGAGCAAGTTGCATGTCATCTGACCGAATGGAGTTTAGGTTGAGAAAATCCCATTTGCATCCACCCATGGTTTCAAAATCGACCAAGTTGGATGGATTGGTGGGGGATGCAGATTGGATTGGCTGATCGATAAAATCTTAATTTTACAAAAAAAAAAAAAAAAACCCTAATTTTTTTACTGAATAAATCCTACTTCATAAAAAAATATTTTTTTAAACTGAACAGTGAGGAGTGAGTTCAGCTTTTCTAAAAAGAAAACGTTCATTTCAAGTTTTGGTACTTTATTTATTGAACAAATAAATAATATGTATATATACACATCAATATTTATGAAGAATTCCTAATTTCATGTGGTCGGGTTGGGTTTCGCGGATTGAAACTTGTATACCCGTCACTTGACCAAAACCCAACTTTTTTTTAAAATTACTAGACCCACATCCGTCTGCCCATTGCATTGATACCTCTCATTTGAGGTCAGATTGGGCGGATTTGGTGGGTCGGTTGGATGTTTGCCCAGCCCTATACCAAAATGATTTGCGTTCTAGGTGACATAGATTGAGATCCTTTCAAATTTGTGTTTACATTCCTGTTAGAACTTTTCAGTAAGTGTTGTTTGTTTGATGATTATTTGAATAGTAGTTTGATAATGTACACTTGGATGCCTGATTCTCTTGCAGGGGTTATAATATTGGAATTCGATTAATTGATGAGTTCTTGGCAAAATCAAATGTCTCCAGATGTGTTGACTTCAAGGAAACTGCTGAAGTAATCGCAAAGGTCTATTATTATCCTCATTGTTGTTGTTGCCTAATCAATTTGAAAAATAAAATGTTACTATTGTTGTGTGCTTTAATATTGACACCATAGATTAGTTAGAAATGGGATACATATCACTTTTGATTCTAAATTGTGACTCAGCGCATTTGAATATTATGAGGGATCAGATTAAGAGAGTATTGAAGGAGCTGTTAATGAAATAGGAACAACTTCCTCTCCCTCTTTTCACATTTTTTTATCATGCATGTCTCTAATACCTAGCTGGACATGCCGTCAAGGTACATTTGCCTTTGATACTTTATATATTTTATAGTGTCGAAGATTCACATAATGCGGATGGTCCTTATGGTTGGCATTGTCTTGTTGCTTTTTCAATTTGGGGAATGGTTTGTTATTCATTAGCTTGCAATGGCAGATTGGTACTTGCATCAATTGAATCATGAAATGAGTTATGTTTGACTAGATTAATAATTTTTTTTGCTGAATAAATTAAAAAAAGGTGCAAATTACAGGTTGGATGCCTAGATTGTAAAATTAAAAATAAAAATGTGTGGTATATATATTATACATAAAGGCAAAACAGCTTCTAGGAAATCCGTCTTTTCTAAAGTGGTAGCACATTTTCTTTAAACTAGAAAATAAAAAAAAAATTGTACAATGATAATCCACATGTTTTCTTTAAGTAGGTGGAGTAGCAGAAAGGTGGTTGCTAGTTTCCCTTACGGAATTTGTCCAAGTATTTTTAGCCCCGTAGTTTTAGGTTTTGTTTTGTGTTGTGTTGTGAGATGTTTTGTTTGGCTTAGCCTCTTGGGCTGTGAGGGGTTCATCTTCTTTTCTAGGCTAGATCTTTCAGATTGCTTGTCTTTAGGGTTTTGCCGGTTTGGCTGTGTCTTTGTGTTTCCCTAGAGGGAAGTATTTTGAGTTTCACTGTCTATTCTATTTTGGATAATATAATATTACTTATCAAAAAAGGGTGGGGGGTAGGGTAATGGGAATTTCGTAATTCATTTAAAAGGATTCAATTTGAACATTCTGCTGAGTGGAGATGTGAGAAAACATGGTTACTAATAAAAGAGGGGACACAGAGAGGTAGCTTGAGATGGTTACCTCGAGGATTGAAATAAATAAGTTGATAAATTTATTGCAAAGATAATGGATAAATGGAAAAAAATATATTATGATGAGGTATTCTTCGAACTTGTTGTTTGTCGCTCTTTTAGATTGAACATGAAAAGTTGCTATCAAATGATGGTTTCATTGTTTCATCTTACTGTCATAGTTTTTTTGGTATCTATCTTCAAATATTTTTTATCATTAGCTAACTATACTTGTAAACAGGTCGGTTTCAAAATGTTCTTAGGGGTCACTGCATCTGTGACCAATTTGGATGCTGATGGAACCTGTTGCAGTCTTATTTTGGAGGATAACCCACTAGTAGACTTTGTTGAGCTTCCTGATACATGCCAAGGTCTATATTATTGCAATATCTTAAGTGGAATTATTAGAGGAGCTCTGGAGATGGTAAGCATTTCCCTTGTATCAAACTATTTCACACCTCTTGTTTCTAGTTTCTCTCTGTATTACTTCTATGACAGTATATATATATAATTGTTTTGAACGAGTGACCAGATTTCAGTTTTCTGCACATTGCATCTTTTACTTGTCAAAAAAATAAAAGTAAAAATAAACAAGAAAAGAAAAGTTCTCTGCACTTTGCATCTTTTGAAATTTGAATTTTTTATGCAATAATATATATAATATTTTGTTACAGTGTAGTACTTTGTGCTGGGATATGATTCTTATGTACTTAGAGCAGTGATTATCATCTGTAAGAGCTGACTTAACTCACTACAGGAACATGATTGCTTAAACACGACTTAGAAAACCAAGTGTCCTGTCATGACTTCAATATTATTACATAAAATGAAATGTCAATGGAAGGTGACGTGGGTGTGAATTATGATCATTATCTGTTTTGCTTTCTCTTTTTCATTGTAGGAAAGGAGGATTCCATTGCCATAGTTTTTTCAATTTTGTGTTTCTAGAAATATTGTCATACCATTTCAATTTCCCTGAAGATAACATTTTGATTATGGTATAGTTTTTTTTGTGTGTGTGTGTGATTGTTGGGTGGAACCAAGATATATAGACTGCCATGGTAACCATTTGTTGTTTGATGTACTGCAGCATTGTTTCCTTTTGTTGTAGGAATTGCAACATTACTTACTATTTTTATTAGGGATGGTAAATTTACTAGTCTATTGAGCAGAAGATTGATGGTACTAGATATATTGTGGTATGCTTTGAAATGTTTGGTTTGATACATGGAAATTACAAGTCTTTGGGATGTTTTGAAGCCATATATTGTATATTATGTGAATAATTCATGTTCAATAATAGTAAGATACTATCCCTCTCTTTCTCATAGAAAATAAATTAATAAAAGGGATGAAAGATTAAGAAACATGTCTTGTTGCTTAATTAATACCTAGCAATAGTAAGATTCTATTCCCTACCCTCCCTAAATAAAAATAAATAGAAGGGATGGAAGATGAAAAATTGATTGTTTTGAGAGTGCTCGAGCTCCTTAGAATGTTTTTCTTTCATATTATTATGACATCTAAAAAGTTATTTGTTATGGACATTTTGGAGATGGTATCGAATATCAAAATTTTAAATCTTAGTGAAGTCTTCAATGACATTTTGGAGATAGTTCCAATTATTGTTGTTTGTCAAGCTGTTATTTTTGTATATATAAATAAATTGGGAGAAGTGAGAACCTTGGAATTGGGTAGCATGGAAAAAAGATTAGGGGTGGGCTGCATTTTTTATCCTCATAAGCATTTATTTAAAATGGTTTTGGAGTACATTGGGATGTAATTAATGCAAGATTGGTGCTGCCTTCTTCTTGTCAAGGGGCGATTATATCCTAGTTATTTGAATGCTTCTACCAGTGGGAAGAATTAGATTTACCCAGTGTTTTAAAAGGCTCTAGGCGCATTGAGGCGATAAGGTCCCCTATAGCCTAAGCGTGAGGCGAAGTGCGCGCCTCACCAAAGCGAAGCTCAAGTAGTAGAAGAAAAGCAAAATTATAAAATAGGCAAAATTTTTAACATAACAAATATATATATATATATATAAAATTTAAAAAATCATAACCATTTTCGATAATCTCTAAACATAACATTCAATCTTCTAAAAATTAGAAATATAATATCCAACAAAAGATATAAAGTATAACATTCAATCTTTTATCACTTTCTGCTCTCTTTTGACCACATTTGGTCATTTTCTATTGAAGAATTTTGAATCCCTGGGGGTATGCCCACAAAAAAAGCACTTACTCAACAATTGGAGTAGAAAAATAGGTAAAGCCCATGAAGCCCATGCCTTGTGCCTTGAAAAAAAGCCTCGCCTCAGTGCCTAAGTTGCGCCTTGCGTATTGCGCCTCGCCTCAACCTGTTTGAAGTGCAAGGTTGCGCCTCGCGCTTGCCTTTTAAAACACTGGATGTACCCCTAACTAATGGATCGCTCTTTTGGGGGGTATCCAATATGGTTGGGAATTGGGGCAATTCTGAGAGATGATTAACCAAACAAACCAAACCAAGCATTAAGTCCCATCAAATGGGATTGGTGACATGAATCTTTCTTCTCCATTCGACTCTATCCAAGGCCATATCGTTAATTAAAGGGGAACGACCTAGCATTTAATTGATAATATATGTGCTATTACAGTGGAGATTCTTGCCCTCTTGAAAGGCTTCAAGGAAGCTTCAACTAACGACAGTCTTCTTGGCCCTATAATCATCCCAAGAGATCATAGATTTTCTTATAGCTGCCTTTTGATATGGAAATTAGATTTATCCTGATGTCTGCTAATGATCAGGGCGATACTTGAGCCACGCTGGGAGTGCCCAAGATTTAGTCTGTCAGGACACATTTTAACCCTTATTGAACATTCTTTAAGGATGGTGATGTGCATCGGATGGCTCTATTCTGTGTATTATTATTTCTGCACTTCTATTTCGCAGCTTGTTGATTTTTGCTTTTCTAGATTCCCCTTTCAGATTCCTCTCCTTTTATAGAGGGAGACGAGAAAGAACTGCCACGGAGACTGTTCAGCAACAATAGAATGAGAGAGGGAGGCAGGGACCATGAAGGGAAGCATAAATGCTTTAACAAAAATAAAAGAAAAAGGTGAAGAAAAGAAAGAAAAAAAATGAATAAAGACCAAAAAAGTGCAGATATAATGAAGGGAAGCATAAATACTTTTAACTAAACAAAGGGTGTAAATAAAATTCAATCATACTCCACACAAGCATCAGTTTTTGTCAATTGGGCCCATTTTGCCTTATTGGTAACTTCCCAAAGGGGCGGGGACTATAGTGTGAAAAGAATTGGATTGTACTTGAAATCATTTTTTGCATTATACCTTCAGTAATCATTACTTTTTTTTTTTCCCACGCTCAGGTGTCAATGAAGACTGAAGTCACATGGCTCCGTGATATGCTTAGAGGGGATGATGCATTTGAGTTGCAGGTGAAACTTTTGAAGCAAATTCCTGAGGAGTATCCATACAAAGATGATGAGTAAAGATGCCATGCTATTTCAACTCTTATCTCTTGTACACACAATTTATGATTTTCATGCCTTTTCTATTACCTCTTATAACAGATTTTCATCTTTTGTTTTATTTTAGAATTTACAGCTGCTTTATCTTCCTTACAGGAATTCTGATTAGATTAGTTGATTCGTCATTTTCCTTTCTATTTCAGAAGGCTTTATTGGTAACCAGACAAAAAATGTAAAAGTAAATTCTTACAGACAGCACCCTGTAATTGAGTTTTGAGAGTTTTCTCTCTCTTTTTTAATTGCAGAAGAATATTTTTAATATGATATATGCCAGTGTTGAAAACATTCAGGTCCAGCAGTGATTATGCAACTGTTTTTGTAATTTCTGAAAATACTTGGGAATTGCATGCTGTCAAAAGGTAATTATTGGAAACTGTCGCTAGTTTTATTTATATGCTCTGAGTTTGAATTTAGAATTTGCCAAAGCTGGTGCATTTGGGGTTTTTTGATTTTGTTGTGGCTATATGTGGAGTGGTGGCTGGTGATGTTGAGGGGTGGTGGTGGAGGGGAAGAGAGGGTTGGTGGCAAGTGTTGGAGAGGAAGAGGGATGGTGATATGCAGTAGAGGGGGAAGAGAGGATCAGTGGTGTGCGATGGCAGGGAATAAAGGATGGTGGCATGCGGTGGTGGAGGGGAAGAGAGGGTTGGTGGCAAGTGTTGGAGAGGGTGAGTGGTGTGCAGTGGAAGTAAGATGGGAGATGGGATGAAGGGGCTGGTGTTGTTGACGGGATTGCAGGCTTGTGCGACTCAGTAAAGTAATGGTTGTTAAGGTTAGGTTTAGGTTAGAGAATGAAGGAACAAGGGTTAAGGACAATGATGTAGAAATGAGGTGGTTATGTAAATTCCATTATTGATATTAATGGTAAAAAAGTATGGTCGTATTTGGTAGAGTTTTAGAATTATAATTTGAGAATAGAGTTATATTTTGAGTTTGTGAGTTTTGAAATTATGATTTGAATGTGGAAAATTTGTTTGGTTATGAGTTTTGAAAAGAGTTTGAATTGAGTGGCGTGACATATGATATTGAAAAGTTCGTGTTTTGAAAAGTGGGTATGAAATTAATTTTCTAAAACTGTAACCAAACAACACATTCAAACTAAGAGGTAGAATTAAATTTCAAAAACTTTACCAAATATAGCCTATGTTTGTGAAGGAACTCTTGAAATTCTCTTAAGCTAATAAAACAGTTACACCAAAAAATACGAGTGGTAACCCTAAAATTGACTTGTTAGTTCATAAACCCGGTTAAAGATAATCCAAGTTGAAGTGGGCCTTCTAACAAGTGAGCACTCTGTCACTCTTCGAGCCCTAATCGAGTGCTGCTCAGTGGAAGCAGAAGGTTGAAAAATACCATGAACTCAATTACCTCAACATGTAAAAAGCACTTGATCGCCACACTCACTAGGACGCTCGATCATTCAGTAAGGGCTAATCTCTCTATTTTGTTTTTAAAAAAAACTCTAGCTTTGAAAAACTGTCTCTCCTAGTTCAAAACAAGTATCAGCAATTACAAAACATTTTAAACCAAAAATACTTGAGAGACAATATTATATCTAGGATGCAATTTGCATATAATGCATATATGCAGTACATGTGAGAGTAACAGAATAAAAATCTCAGATGTACTCAGCTTTTAATCTAAACTATGAAGTCTCATTACAATACAAGTTTTATCGCATAAAAATAGGCAACATCTATACCCTATTTCTAAAAAGAATATAATTTAAAAAAACTAAAAAGGAAATAAACTGTTACCAAAATAAATAAATAAAAATGATACATATTTGGTGATGAGTCTTAACAATGCTCTACAGGAAAATTTTTTTCTTAAAAACGACCCACTTTCCAACATTGTTAATATTGGATTTCATGTTTTCATTTCGACTTCTAAATTAACAATGAAAAATATTGAACAGTGACATGTCCCCAAAATTTTTACTTTCTTTATCTTCAAATTTTTGGTATTCATGAAGTTTTTAAAATTTTAAAATGAGATATGTTGGGCAATGTTGAACCTGATTATCAAATATAAATGATATTGTGGGGATGTATTTTTAAATAGGGCTACAATTATATGCATGACCTCGAACTGAGGAGTCACATGTAAGTCAGTACTAGTCGAGGTTGTGACATAAGTCAAACCCTAAACAGGATATGACACCTCGGTTGAGTAATCCCGAAAGAGGAGGAGCTCTTCTAAATTGGATAAGATAGAGACTTTTAATGAGATCAATCCCTACCAAATTAAGAGAAAAATTAGTAGGGTACGTACATTCCAATATTTAGAGTTATAACTTTCACTATTTGTGTAGGAGTGGTACTAGGGACCCCAAATAATTTATCAAATTTTTTACCAAACCTCTCATATGGGTGCGGGCAGTGGCGGAGCCACAGCTACTCTAGGGGGGTCACGTGACCCCCTTGGATTTTGGATTTTTTTTTTTGCAAATATAAAGAAAATATTTTAAATAAAAAAATTATAAAATATTATTTAGAGTGCAATATCAATGACATTTTTAAAATTATTAAAATAATAATAATTGTTTTTTCATTGAAAATAAAGATATTACGATAAGTCATATTATTATTTATGAAAATTTCAATACAATGGTGATGTCTATCATTATTGACATACAATTATAATTAATCTCAATAAAGATATGAAATTTATTGAATTGTTAGTTACATTTGACATATGGGGTTACCCTCTATGTGTTTCTTTACCATTGGTTGGTGATATCATATGTCAATAATGGCGTGGTATTACTATTATATTGAATTTTTACTGAAATTTTGGGTAAAAAATTACTTTATCATTATATAATTTATTTTAAAACTTGTATCTATGACTTTTTTGTTTTATATTGTCTATGATATACTAGTTATAAATAATATATATATATATATATATTTATTTATTTATCTTTTTTGGAGTCAATTGTAAAAACTTATGTGAAATATTTTTTGTAAAATTTTTCAAAGTTTTAATTAATAAATGCCCCATCTGATTTAATTTGTTGGCTCCGCCACTGGGTGCGGGACCCATACACATGTGGGTTTGTGTGGATCCAACACCCATGAGAGAGGTTTGATAAAAAATTTGATAGATTATTTGGAGTACATAGCATTTTTGTTTATGTAATTGAAGTTTATAGAGAGTTATTGCTAACTTTGTGATTGGAGTGCCCATCGGTTGACAAAATCTTGTTTTGCACGCATAGATTTTGATGTATCCATCTTCAGAGTTCAGTAAACTCTCACAACATCTGAAGGATTGTGTTTCTCCCATTATTTACAAATATCGTTTGTTACAGCATATTTGTTCATGGAAAAAACTAACCATTCACTTGATGTAATTATAAAGCATAATCCATTTGAATAGTGGCCTAATTAAGTTCCCACCCTAGTTGGTTAATCATGCATGAAAAATTATTCTACACCACTCCTATCCTTACAGATTGTGAGGTCAAGTCAAAAGCTGGGGACAGTTAAAACTTGACCAATCAACTAACACTAGATCTTAAAATAAGCCCTAAAAAACAGACATTTTCTACCAAAAGCATGACAAAATCTAGGGCTAGGAAAATAGGACAAGAGCTTGCACAAAACGTTTCAACAAGAATCTCTAAAAGAGAAAGTGAAAATTGATTCAAAGACAAGGGTCTTTGGAAAGTCCCTTGTATATATATATATATATGTATATGATTTAAGAGTACTAGTAGATCACTTGTGATAAGGAAAAGGAGGGAGAGGGAGAGAGAGAGAGAGAGAGAGAGAGATAGAAGAGAGAATGGCACCAGTGGGATTGCCTCCAGGGTTTAGGTTTCATCCTACTGATGAAGAGCTTGTGAATTATTATCTCAAGAGGAAAATTCATAGACAAGAGATTGAACTTGACATTATTCCTGAGGTTGATCTCTACAAATGTGAGCCTTGGGAGTTAGCAGGTCTTTTTTTCTATCATTTTCCAATTTCCAATTTCCAATTTCCAATTTCTTATAGATAGTGTTTGGTGGCATGTGATCTTCTGTCTCCAAATCTTCCTGTTCCACTCTCTCAAAACATTTCAATTTATTGGATCACATCTTAAGATCATTGCACCTGGAGATTTTTAATGATCCAATGATTACGAGTGTTTTGGGATAAGGGCACAAGGAGATTTAGAGACGGAGAAACCTTGACTGTAGTTGGTTCAGTCTCCTTATTGAATAAACAATGATATAATGCACTTTTCATCGAATGACCATTTTATAACAATGTTTCATCATTTTTATAAATGAATCAAATGTGAAAAATGAACATCAATTTCTAATACATAAAGCACACAATTCATTTGAACGAAACTATGTCACTCATGTTGTATTTCAAATTTTGATTTATACATTCAGTTTTTTTGTCAGATGACAGTTAAAACCGTCTTTCATTTCTGCACATACATTGCATGTATGGGTAGCTTTCTAATTATGACAGAACGGTCAATGCATTAACGAGCAGCGATTAATAATACTGATGGAAATTAAAATGTAAAAATGGCAGAAAAATCATTCTTGCCAAGCAGAGACCCAGAGTGGTATTTTTTTGGGCCGAGGGATAGGAAGTATCCGAATGGATTCAGAACAAACAGAGCAACAAGAGCTGGCTATTGGAAATCCACTGGCAAGGATCGAAGGGTGACTTCACAGAATAGAGCCATTGGGATGAAGAAGACACTGGTTTACTACCGCGGCAGAGCTCCTCAAGGCATTCGCACCGATTGGGTTATGCATGAATATCGCCTTGATGACAAACATTCCGATGAAACCTCCGCAATTCAGGTAGGTATTCATTTGAAATTGTCATCCATCAACTATGGTTTTAAATAACAGTATCATAAAATATTAGTGATACAGTCATATATAATAACAATTTTTTTTTTATCAGCGTCGTATATAATATCAATTGATATAAGTCAAGTCTAAAATCTGAATTCGTATCGACTGATATTTAGAACTAGCTATGCCATCAACGCCATAATTAGTGTAAGTATCATCATTATTATCATTAGGAGTATGATATTTATGCATAATTTAAAATCAGAATGATGTGTTAATAATATATGCTTTATTGCATTATAGTTTTAAATTTGTAAAGATCAAGAAATGTAAATTTAAATGGTCTCAACTCTCTTATTGTCTAATTTAATTAATGGGATAAGCATTTTCAAAATCATATTTTTTTGTTAATCACTGTCTATTTATTAATATGGTACATTTATAATGATTGAATGTTGATAGTATATTTCAAGTTAGATGATCCCAATTGTAAATGGTGAAAGATAGATGAACGTGGAAAGTGCATGGCGTGCATGGAAAGTTTGGGCTTTTGTCATCACTCTCTTTAGCTTTCTTAATTTTATTTTTATACCTATTTATATATATATATATATATATATTATATATTCCTTACTTGATAGGTGGATCTCATAACTGTTAATGTGACAAAGGCTTTTCTTCTTCACTTTGCTTTTTTATATAATGAGACAAAAGTATTATCCTATCCCCACATCCCATATGACTGAATCTGTTTTCTATAGCAGCCTATCTATCTGTCATCTGTTTTTTCTTAATCAATAATTAATTAGTAAATTATAATTAATTGTAGAATCTACCACTCTTTAAATCGTTTAGACTTAGATCTATAACATTACATTAATATTAATTATATGTGCAAAGTACAAAAGCAGCTACATAGATGCCCCTCTATCACTGGTCACTTTCATATATTTTGTGTAAGAAGGTGTCGGCTGGCCTCTCCCACTTTTCACTTTATTCCAAACACAGGAATATCACAATACAGTTATCTATAACACCTTAATTTATAATACAGAACAAAAAAGATTATTAGGTTTCAATAAGCATATTTTAGTTGTTCCAATTATTCATTTTATAAAATTAATTAAAAAAGAACATTCATGTGGAAAAAAAGAAAAAAGAAGAAAATGATTTGACGTTGTAGTCACAAAATTAGATAACACTTGTCTAAAACAAAAAATCAACAGTCAAGTCTAGAGAGAATTCATGTACATTATGAGCTTATAACATGCCTAATTTGTTATTGAATGATAATATCACGTATCAATTATATCATGATGTATAATATTAATTTTTTTTTTCCTCATTTTATTATTTGTTGTTTTGGTAACAAAGGTGGCAAACAGAATGCCCTTGTTGTATCTCACCCCATTTTCAATGGGATTTGCTTTTTGTTTTTTGGAAGAGTATGTCAATATGATCTTAGTGAAGTGTTTTGGCTTTTGCATTTGACATTTGCTAGGCTGCCATATTCGGAAGCTCATGTCTCTACATTTTTGTGCAATACAACCGTTCTCTTTATCATCAGTCATCAAATTTTTATTTTTTATTTTTTTATGTGTGTTCTACTTGCATTGCACAACTGGACGGTTTAACTATTGCACTAAACAATGTATATCAAGCGACATAGGACTTGAATCCAGAACCTCTTGAAATTAGAGTCCATGATAAATCAACGGTTAAGAAATGAAACGAGCAATATATATTAACCTAACAATGATGATCTTCACTTGCAGGACTCATATGCGTTGTGTCGCGTGTTCAAGAAAAATGGAGTATGCTCGGAAATGGAAGAGCAAGGACAATGTAGCGGCTTATCATCGTCATCACCATTGAATCATGAGAATTCTTTGCAATATGGAGGTGTCCAAGACTGTGAAACTATGTCACCAGATGTTCCATTAGCATCATCATCCTTGTGCACGGAGGAAGATGATTCTTCCTGGATGCAGTTCATCACAGACGATGCATGGTGTTCTTCCAATGTTTCCATTAATGGCTCTGAAGACTTCTGACAAGTCGCTCCGGCATTCATTCTTAAACTATATTGAATTAAACTAAACTACATGCTAGGAACCAAGAAAGCAATACTCAGATACAGAAAAATAATCACTTGGGTTAGTTTTTGAAAATTGTTTTTGGGTTTTTTTTTTAGAGTAATTTTTTTATATTTTAGTCAATTTTTTTTTTTTAAAAAAACTTTTTGGATACACCAAATTTGGATGTATTTAAAAAGTAAAAATATTTGTCAAGAAATCTAAAAAAAGTTTACTAAAAACAAAAAAACACGTAAATGTGCTCATTTTTTTGTTTTTAGTAAATTTTTTTTTCCGGATTTCTTCAAATATATTTTGTATTTTAGATGCATCAAGAATAGGTGCGTTTAAAAAGTAAAAAAAAAATTTGACTAAAATATAAAAAATACTTCATAAAAAAATTCAAAAATAGTTTTTTGAGTTCAAAAAAACCAAAAAAAGATCAATGTTTATTGGTCTGGATTCAATTCTTATATGGTTGGGATCCACATTTAAAATGAATCTGAATTACATAATATTTTTTTGTATCTGAGTTTTTGGTACCTAGCATTATTGGTGGTCAATAACATATATATTTTTATAAATTAATATACATTTTTCTTATAATTGATAAGCTAGTTAGGCACACGGTTTCAAGATGTTTCCTTCCTATACAAAAAAATTGTGGGTTACATAATACTACATTATTATGCCTAATTGTATTTATTTTGCTGACATTCTCCCTCCATATGTATGTTGTTGGTGATGGTTCTTTTGTCTCTGAAGACCATAATATGGATCTGAAGCTCATAATAAAGCTCTGTTGATTTTGGTTTTGAGCTTTTTATATATTGAGGCTTTTTGGTGGTTGGTTGTGCAAAAGACATGAGTTTTGCCTCTTTTTTTGGGTTGCTCAATAGTTCCCATGCACTTTTTTTTTTTTTTTTTTTTTCTCTCTCTTTTTCTTTAATAATTTTTTTGGAATAATTGGTAAAAGGTCCATTTTTATGGGGCAACATATTATTTAGTCTAAGATTTATTTTTATTTATTTTATTATTATTATTATTATTATTGTGATAAGGACACGTGTTAAAAGTCGCAGATGTCAAAAAATGGCTAGAAAGTCACCAGCGGTGAGGTAAATAGATAGGTGACATTGAACAAATAGGTGAATAAATAAGTATCAAGTGTATATATAAGTGACATTTAAATAAATAATTGAACATATAGGTGATATTTAAAAAAATAGATAGATAGATAAAATTTTAAACAGTTAAATGTCATTTTTTCTTAAAAAAATTTGAGTTTGAATCTATTGACTGAAGAGTTTTAGAAATTGAGCTCTCACCCGAATGCCCTAATATTTTTCAATTTAATATGCACCATTAATTCTTTACTTGGTCATGTTTTTGCTTCCACTCCATATAGAAGGTTTTACAGTGGGGGACGACAATTCAATTTTATTTTTTATTTTTTTTCTTTTGATCTGTAAAGAAAAAGAAAAAAATATATTATTAATAGGATAGAAAGATACTACATAAGTCCAGCCCAATCAGGACTCCTCTCCTACACACAAGCAAATTCATACTGGAGTCCGACCCAACCCATTAGCCCAAACCCGGCCCCCAACCCCAAATTTGCAACTAAACAGTGGCTGTGGAGACAAAACAGTGGACTAGCCGTTGGTCCAACAACTATTTTTATTTTATTTTTCATTCTATATATATATATATATATATATATTTTTTTTTGTATAAGCCATATATATATATTTTTTGTATAAGCCTATAAATACCCAACCCAACCCTCAATCTTCATTTTTCAAAAATCAATGTACTCTCCCCCCAATCACTTATTGGTAAGTGAGCAATAATTTGTAGGTTTGTTTGGGATGTGGATTTGGAATTGCACAGCAGTCACTGCTGTGCAGTTCAATGGGTCCATTTCAGAGTCCATCTAAATGATTCGAACCGTTCACATTTTAGAGTATATCACGTACAATATATCTATAAAAACTCAAGTTAATCGGATATCGTTAACTCTCGTCTACTCAAATTTGTATATACAAAAATAAATGGCAACTATGAATTAAAATATTAAATACAAATGTGAGTGGATGAAAGAGTTAATAATATCTAATTAATTTGATTTTTTTTGGTATATTCTATTTGATGTATTCTAAAATGTGAATAGTTCGGATAATAAAAAAGGGCCTCGACATGGGCTGCTTGGCTACACAGCAGTGAATGTTGTGCAAGGGGCAGCAACCACCCCAAGTCCTTGGGATGTGGATTGATTTTTTGACTTTTAGCTATTTTAGTTTGGGATGAGATTTTTGGTTTTTTTGACTTTTGTGAGAGAAAAAATGAAATGATTATAATTTGGATGTGATATTTTGTCTTATTAGACTCAAAAACTTATTTTATCTTTTTGTAAAACGATAACAATATGTACAAGATCAAATAGGCATACTCTTTATATAAATGATACTATGTATTGTGCCCCATCTACAATCAATGAAAATTATTAGGAGTAAATTTAACATTATGGAGCTAAAATGGCTTTGACACAAATGGCATGCACAATTTCATGTACAACTTGAACAGGTTCACGCTAGTCCTTCAAAAGATAGGATTGTTACACTTCTACAAATCATGTATGTCATAGCTAACCAAACTAATATACAACTGTTTGCGTCATAAAATATTATCTTGTCAATTATAATATGTCCCGTGGCGTAGTTAGGAAATCAGTGAAAATAGGTATAAATTAATGATAATATTAATTTTTTTTCTTTATAATAAACAATAATGAGATATTACAAAATTTAAATGTTAAGAGTTCATTTGGATAAATGTGAATTTTAAATTAAAGGATTTGAGATTAAATTTTATACAAATATTGGGGAGTAACTATTTTATAGGTAGATTGGAAAATTTAAAAAGAAGATAAGTTGAGATAGAAATGACATATTTTAGTAGAGAAATTCTATAAAATATACCGCGAAAAAGTGTCTATCATATGTCGCAATTATGATCTTCGTGATCTTTAGCTATAACACATTATAGTGTTAGATATAATTAAATTATAACTTCTTATGGTTGTTATTTTGGTTATGACTATATATCAAGTAATAGTTGACTCATTCTAATATTAATTATAACCTATTGTAATTTTTTTTAATTATTATTTTTTTTTTATAATTGAAAATATGTTGTTTGATTATAATTTATATAATGGTCATTTTAGTTATAAATGAAAAGAAACACATAAAGGATAAACTCCACATGTCAAATGTAACTAACAATCCAATAATTTTCATATCTTCATTGAAATTAATTATGCTTGCATGTCAATAATAATAGACATTACCATTATATTGAAATTTTCATAGATAATAATATGACTTGTCATAGTCTCTTTATTTTCATACAAAATAACTATTATTGTTCTCATAATTTAAAAAATGTCATTGACATTTCACTTTAAATAATATTTTTATAAATTTTTTTATTTAAAATATTTTCTTTATATTTAAAAAAAAATGAGCAGTATTTGGTTTAAAACTGTGCTGTTTGTTAGTATTAACCAAAAATAAAAGGTTGAAATGTCAAGGGGAGGTACGTGACCCCCTAGACCTTTAGTGACTCCGCCCTGGATATGTCAATTTAGATTATAAATCATCTTTTTAATGGTAACTATATGACCACATTATTATTATTATTATTATTATTATTATTACTTGAGAGGGTAATTTATAATTGGGCCGAGCTAAAGGTTTTTTTGTGAGTTGGGCCGCATAATGGACCGGGGTAAGTTGATATAGCCTGGTCTTAGAGCTAACAAGCTTGACCCAGGCGAAGTTTGGACCGAGCTATGGATTGAGAAGCTTGGGCCTTGCGTGATCGATCTCATCTTGGTTAGCCCGGTGAGGGATTGCTGCAGTTAGCTTGGTTTGAACAGCTAGAACCGAGGTGTACATGGATAGGGTCCGAGCTAGGCACTGCGTATAGAATCACCGAATTGAGTATGTCAAAGGGCAAGTGTTAGCTTGGTCATACTGTTATCCAGCCGAGGTAAAACCATCTCATTTGGTTTAAGCAGTGAGGAGGGTGTTGAAGGATAAGCATTATCTTTCAGGAATGTGATTCGTAGGAGGACTATACATTGAGGAGTAAGAGTCCTACTAGGATTGTGTCACACGGAACTCATAAAAGCTCACAACGGAACCTATGGACAGGTAACACAACTTTGATTCCTGAATACACAGAGCTTCTGTCTATTTGTCTATTTTGCTGACTTAGGCATTGGAGAGGTATCCGGCACAAACCCGCCGACTAGCTCACGTTTGTGTTTTCAGGAAGTAAAGCGACGATGTTTGGAGGAGCGCAAATACGAGAAGATTATTTCGTGCTCGTACAATTGGCGCCGTCTGTGGGAAGCCCAGAAAGAACAAAGCCTCTTGATCGAGTTTTCCTCTCTAGTTGGAAGCGATGGCGCACAATGAAGATTTGCCGCAATCCGCTATCGACGGACAAACCCCAGAGGGGGCTGGGAGACGTGAAGGTTTACCTTCTATCCCACCCATGGAGGATTTAGAACCCCAGCGACAGAACCCCCGAAGGGATGCAAGGGGGAGGCGGGCTGGCAGCCCTTATCGCTCTCAAAGTCCTGAAAGACAGAGGCGGATGATGGACCCTCAAGTTCTGGAGGATCGCGTAAAGAAGCAGGATGAGTTAATAAGGAGGATGACGGCAGACATGGAGTCAATGAAGCGCTAAATAAAAAGAAAATTGGTGGCGACAGGAGAGGGGCGCAAAGGCAACACGCCCCCTCGACACTCAGAGGATCGTGATAAGCTTACCACACCATCGCAAGCAAAAAGTAGGAGCCTTAGAACAGGCGACACTCAATCAAGGACTTCCAGGACTCGTTACTCTAGGTCTGAGAGAACTAGAACTGAGAGGTCATGTACTGAGGGAAGCACCTATCGGCCCTCGCACATGCACCAGACGTCATCTAGGCACACGGAGTTGCTTAGATCATCCGACTTGCGAACTATGCTTGAAGAAAGGGCCCGATGGAAGGAGGATACCAAGGCACGGGACCCGCGCAAAGTTTCAACCCTTCAGCGGTTGGCCCCTCGGATACATGGGAGCGTCGAGGTAGGAATGCCAATGCCGCGCCT